AGAGGAGAAAAGGAAAAAAAATCGTGAAATACACAGGAAATACGAGCCTTTTGCTCTACGCTGCGGAGAAGTTCAAAAGGCCGGCAGGGAGATGAGAGATAATGTGAGCGCGGAGAGCGGTAGAGAAGTCCGAGAAGAGAGAGCATAGCAGATCAAGCATTGCGACGCAGACAAGATATCGAGCGGTGGGCGGAGCGTGTCGCAACAGGTGGAGCGTGTCAAAGTCCTTGGCCCCTAGCGCCTTAGTGACGCATTTCGATGCGGGAACTTGGCGAGTCGCCTGCAGTTGCGTCCTTCTAGCCACTTTAAGGGCTTATTAGGTGGGTCTGAGCCCGAACTTTGCCTTTAAACAAAGATTCCATGAAATAAGGAAGGGGCGAGGCCGGACGAGTTGTACGAACTTGCCTGCTTCACGGCTCAACTTGCACGTCCGCCATATGCTCACTTTGTAAGACCTTAGCGCCATTGCCACGCACTTTCTAGCTGCAACAACGGTACACCTGTGATACTTGTGGGCTACGCCCTCTCAATGAATAGATTCTTCGACACGACTTCTGCTGGGAGTGTCACTCTAGGGCATAGAATGCGCTAGGATCCACCTCAGGCACGTTCCATAGCTGTGAGACGCCACGCCTGAAATTGCACGTAAAACAGCGGCGCAATCGCGACGCCTCCTCTAAAAAGACATCTAACGTTGATGAGCGAATGAACAGTTGCTCCACAAACCACAGTAGAGGACCTGTATCCGCCCCTCTATCAGAATGGCTTGTAATCCTAAAATGAAATTCTCATTTTTGAATTTTTTCATTTAAGCACATTGTGATCCGAGCCGCTAAGCCGATCAATCTCCGTGCTGGTGACTGGGTGACGAACGGCGTTGGACGAAATGTCTCACACTCATTCGGCTACGGTCTCATGGACGCCGGCGCCATGGTGCAATTGGCGCGGAACTGGACAACAGCTCCCGAACAGCACAAATGCAGACAGTTCTACCCGAGTCGATTCAAGTGAGAGCTTTACACTCACTCCTTATGAGGTCACCTTGTCTATTGAAGCCAGTTTCAGGACAATACCTCATGGGAATCGACTCCAGCTGCAGCTCTACACGGACGGTTGTGCTGGTTCGCCGGACGAGCAGGTTGTGTATCTGGAGCACGTGCAGGCAATTATCACACTGAAGGCCCCAAAGAGAGGCGACATACAGATCTACCTGACAAGCCCTTCAGGTACTTTTCAAGTTCAGGAGTCCTAGGTTGAACTCAAAAAAAGGCTAGTCGAATATTTCCAGGGACACGCTCCACCCTGCTAACCAAGCGGGCGCGGGATACGAGTCGAGCCGGGTTTATCGAATGGGCTTTCATGACCACACACAGTTGGGGTGAGCTCGCTGCCGGTCTTTGGACGCTTGAAGGTGGACAATGATGGGTGGGACGGTGAGTGCTGGAGTCACTAATTGTGTACTTAAGAATAGATTATTGATTGACGCGCAGAGCCATAACTCATCACATGAACCTTTTCAGATGCCGAGTTGGTAAAATGGGATCTGGTGATGTTCGGTACCGTAGACGAGACCACTCAATACGGTGGAGGCCATAACTCGGCCCTAATGGCCAGGTCGTTGGCTCATATGGAAGAAATTCGGGCTGGCGTCAAAATGGCGCCGTTCCACGCTCGTCTTGCCTCGATTCTGCTGCCGATGCTGATTCTTTTACTCCGATTATGATCACGATGATAATCATGTGATTGCTGTACGCTATCGAATTCCTAGTGGCCTTACGGTTCTTTCATAATGATTCACCCTTTGACATGATAACACTGATAGTGCTGATATTGCGATGATGATCAATATTCGGCTAGTACAGTACAATTACTACAGTACAACCCTGAAGGAATCAAGTTAGTTCATAGTAGTTCTATTTGATTCGTGTACTTATCTGTTGATCTCTTGCTGGAGGGAAGCAGTGAACATTCCACGCCACGGTGCCCCTCACCCATCCCCATCAACTCTGGTGCCCAGGAGAACCACCACTATCTTCCCACTGTAGGGTATCTAGCGCGCTCCCACGCGCCCACGCGCCACACTTTCAGTTTACGGTACCCGATTCGTTTGTGATTTCATCGCTTCACTTTCTTCCCCTCTCCCATGATCCCTTCGTCTCATCGTTGTCGAAGTCGCCCCTTTCCCGTGTTCTCCGTCAATTTCTGCCATCCCAACCAGGATTTCCTCCTCGTCCCCCCCCCTTCGTTCCTCGCTCCACTCATTCCTTTTCCTTGAGCCCACGCGTTTTCTAGTCGTTAACGTCCGTTTCATGTGCGTTGTTTCCATTGAAATATGTAGAAATTTCGAAGAGCTTTATCATTCCGTACAGTGCAAATTCTTTGTGTGTAAATGTTCTTTATGGTCGTACGAATGCAGATGATAAATGTGCATAAATGTGTCATGTTGATGCCATCAAGTCGCGTTTAACGCAGCGCAACCGCGCGCGTCTCCCCAAGTCCACCGCAAACTTTTACAGACGGTTTGTGAGGTTGGTTATCAGACTGCTCGTGGAAATGATCTGCCAAATTTGAGAAGCTGAACTGATTTCGCCTATTGTGACCGGTTTTGTGATAACGTGTCCTTCTTGTTGAGTATTCCTGGGTACTTGGTTGTTTTGGAGTAGGCCTCGCTCTAAGCTCAACACCATTCTCTTCTATCCCTGCTTGATTTTCACCACTTTGGAAGTTAACCTCAAAATAGTTTATATTCAGGCGAGTGTTGGAAGGAATGCCCCTTCATAGAGAGCT